AAGCAGAGGTTCTGAAGAATGCTCTAATACACTGGAAAGCTATTTTCAGAAAGCTATTCATTGTCAAAATGGTAAATGTATTGATGGGCATTCCTGAACTATGTACTAGCTAATATTTTCTTTAATGATCAATTTGATAGAATAAGATTGCAAAGTATATTTGCAGACGTGAGTTGCTGCAAGTCTGCTGGAGAATTCCAAATAAGTTTGACAAACTGGAGAAACAGTCTAAAAAGAGTACAATTCAGAAAGTTTAAAGACAAGATTCCACAGCTGAACCACAAAGAGAAGGAGAAACAAGTGAGAAGATGGTGGTTCTTCAGAAAACACTGAAATTCATATTGGCTCATACTTTGAAGAATTGACACTGTCATGCTGTTTTGAAACAAACACGGTCTGTAAAATAGGTTGTTTTCTCCTTATTATTGGAAAGGCTTCAGCTGCATTCCTGGGTTTACTTTGAGGAAGACAGTCAACTGAAGAGAGAAATACCAAAAAAAATCAGATGTCTGGAAAAACATGACTTAGGGCGAAAGACAAAGAATTGAGTTATTAAAGTTGGAGGCAAAGAATTGCAGGTCATGGCAATCCAAATAACTGGAAGTTGCTGCAAGAAGGAAATAATCTGTTCTCTACACAAAGAAAAAGCAGATAAAAGATGACAGAATGCAACTGCTGCAAAAACAGAACTGGATACTAGGCTGGAAAAAGTCTGCTAAGGACAGAGCTTCTAAGGCTCCAAAATGTATTTGTCAAAGTTTTTAAGAGAAGATTGGACAAACATCAGTGGAGAATGGTTTTGGTGTAGTTAAGCCTTCTTCGGGAAAAGAGAATAGATCAGGTGACTAAAGCTCCTGCCCGCCCTGCTTCCTATGGTTCTGTGATTACAAAGGAAAATGCAATCCCTCAACCTCCGCAATGTCCAAACACTAGGAGTTGCCACTTGATCTTCAAAGCGAAAGTGGGATCAGAAAGTGATGCACACCATTTGTATGCAAATGAATCCTCTCATCTCTTTTCTCCAGCCATCACACAGTTCCTCCTCCGGCCCCACACTTCTCGCCTCCCCTCCATCTCCACCACATTATGCTGGGGGAGCACAAAACGTGGCCCTCTCCCAGGAACCCCTACACACTCTACCACACACGTCCTGATGCATAATGTCACATCCCCAAGTGGTACCTCGGAGCCTCTAAATATGCAAAAAGCCAACTCTGTGACACAGATCACACATGGGCTTCAAGGAGTACCAAGGGGAGTTACATCCTCTCCCTCCTACCTCCCCCATATCCCCAAAGCAAGCCACATGCCAAGGAGAGGAAAAAAAAAGCCCCTTACGCTGTGCAAAGTGATTTTTACATCTCCACAGTAAATTATGCTAATTAATGTGACCGCAAAACGGCTCAGGGCTATTCTAAAGGATACAACTATTTCAGGTCTGCTGCTCTGTTCTGAATTATTCCAAGGTTTGGTCAGAAATGGTCCACAGAAACATTTCTGCATTGGAAAAGGCCTGTACTCCAAAGTGAAGTGCTGCCATGCTTTTACATTTTCAAAACCAATTAATTTAGAAAGAAAAAAACTCTATACATTTGATCAAAGAGCATGATGAAATATTTTTTGAATGTCAGGTTTTAATTTGAGAAGGAAAAAATGACTGAACCTAAATGTAATCAAGCTGTTTTGTGAAGAATAAAAATAGTTTCCAGCAGATGTGTCCCACACAGAAATTTCATATCTTTGAGATTTAAGTTTGTCAGATTTGTTTTACACTGATCAATACACTATAGAGTTATTAGGGAGAAACTAAATAGACAGTGACACTGCATAGGTGTAATTTCTTTAAGAAATCAGCCTCAAAGTTAAACATTAAAGAATGTAAATAATTAATATTTCAATAACATATTTCTTCTGTTAAATCAAAAATGTAAGGAATTTTTCCATACAGCCCAGTTAGCCAGAAAATTGTCCTTGATAAAGAATATCAAACCAAACACTTATTTATCAAAATGCCATAGCCCACCTGGTTTGTCAGCTTGAGTTAAGTATCATTCCAAAACATGAATATACTCAGCCAGAAATCCAGAATTCAGCGCTTTCTAAGGTGAGGAAATCAGATAAATGAACCTAAATAAAATGTATCTGATGGACTAATGGGTGCCTAATGGTATAGTATTTAGGGTAGATGGGTCATGCTAGCCTGCTGACTGATGCATGTCAGAGGAAACAGGTACTGTGAAAGGAGGAAATCCATGCTCCAGTTGGAAATTATTTTTGTTAAAATTACTCTGGCATCATGATTTGGCAAAGTGCCATTGGATGCACGTTGCTGTAAAGTCGCTTTAAGATGGAAATTAGAGATAATTAAACAGAGAAAAAACAGAAAAGAAGTATCAACCGTGAGAGTATCTAAAATTCCAATGAGTGGTTCTCCTTGAAAGCACAAATAAGCTGATTTTAGAGGCAAAAAATCGTTAAACTTCAAATAAAGAATTACATTAGACCAGTTAGATATCTAAAATCCCACAATGGATGGAAGTTACAGTTGCAGTTACAGGGCTCAAAACCCAACAAGTGTGCTGGTGCTTTCCATTCCTAACAAAATCAGAACTAAGCAGAAACAGCTCTTTTATTCTGTCTTTTAAAAAAAAATTTTGACTGAACAGAGAAGCCTACAGACTGCGATTTCTGGGAAAAATTAAACAACCCAGATTACCATCTCTTTGAAGCAGAAACTGTCTTTTACTATACCCATGTCTAGGCTTATGTATAGTGCCATGAGATTCCAATTCATAACAAAGGCTTCCAGCATGCTATAGCAAAAAAAACCCCTATATAATGGCAACTAGTAAACACAGCAGCCATTGCAAGTCCCTAAAAGTACCAGTTTAATTGAACTGCAGACAAAGAGACTCACCAGGTAGCTACTGTTTGATTTTAAACAGCAGTTAAAATAGCCTAGTATTAACTTTGAAAAGTGCAAAATTTTAATATGTTAGAAATTTGCATTCAAATTATCAATAGATTTTAACAAAATCTACCTATTTGAGTCAGATACTAGGTACAAAATCTCAGCACATGATCTGTTAAGGTCATAAAGGAGCCTCAAGGTCTTGTTCACACAGCAGGCGAGTCTGGGAAATGTGCAACAAGTCCAACTTCTCAGGGCAGGCCTAGGAATCAGCAAAGATGGGCTGCACTCATAGACCTTGAAACCACAGTAAGGAGACAACTATTCATTGCTTCACACCAGTGCAATATTCAGGATTTTATCCTCAAAAGGGCATTTTTGTTCTTCAGGATTTACAAGCTCACTTGACTGTCAAGCTCTTAAGTTCCCTGCACCGACTCTTTGGAGTTTTCAAGTTTACAAGCACTGCAAAAATAGTGCAGAGTTTGCACTTGCTTTACATTGAGAGATTGCAAAATACATATGAAGGATTCACAGAGATTTTGTTCCTTGACCAAAGCCACATTTATGTAAAGATGCTCATAAAATTCTGCTACCTACTTCCCAGAAAAACTCACAACTCTTGAGCAGGGCTGCTTGGAAGGATAATAGGGATAGTTTGCTCACATCCTCTGCCTTAAGATTCTGCAACTGCATGAACTGAGCTGGACCTTATTCAATTTTTGAATAGTTTTCCCAATCAACATGAAATAATTTGCAAGTTAAATTCAGATATTCATTCCGATATGAATTAGGAGTGCTTCTTCAAAGTAGTTCACAGGATGCAATTGCAGTCAAACCACCTCTGTGTTTCAAATTCAAGTAACTCCAGCTGAGTAACAGATTGAATATGGAACACATAACTTTACCAAATCAATTAACTGGAAGATGTCAGATACTGTTTAAATTATATGAAATTTTATGCCAGCTGTAATTGCAATATATAACAGATCTAACACCACTTCTTGTTCTCCAGATGTCCATTTTGTCTTCTGCAAGCAGCAGGTATGCATTCACTAGTATTTAAACAGGGTCAGAGAAGACCTTGAGTGAATAGCAGAAAACCTAACAAACACTCTTTTAAAGACAGAATATACTGCTTCTCACCCCTCCTATTCAGGGCATTTTATTTTTGGCTGAACATGACCTCTGTTTGGCTATGATATGCCCCTACATTTATGTGTGTAAGCTCTGACAAGCTGTCTTGAAAGCCTCTCACTTCTATGAGAGATCAAATTATTTGGAAATTGCAAGGTGAGTTTGGGTGAGGAGGGGTTAAAACTGAATTAGGCTGCGGCAGCTGACTTATTAGTCTGGTTATACAGCATGAGCCCTGGTATGAGCCCTGTTGCTTGCACTGGAACCAATTAAAGTGCCTGGTATGTAAGACTGAGGATTAGGTACATAGCACTCTACCAAGTGTTAAACTAAAAAAGTTTTAAGCTTGCTCCTTTAATATGTCCCATGTATCCCCCTTCTTCCACCTAAGTGTCCTGCTCAGGCCGTTAAACATCTTGTTAAGATGACAGTACTTCAAGTTAAAATTCACTGTCCACATAACTCTCTTGATAGCCAAGGCTGATTTTAAAAAGCAGTTTAAACCACTGCAGAACTTACATGCATAAGATTACAGTTGCATGCATTGGACTGATGTACAGTCTTTTTTGTTCTAAACAATTCAAATGCAGGTATTTAATGAAATTGTATTGTTGTGAGAAAAATATTTACTCAGATCAAACAAGAAATAGGAAAAAGGAGTTCCCTTGTCTCACTCCTGGAGCCACTCCTTCCCAACTGAATGGGTGACAAGAAGAGATGTGTTTGTAATGTTGAGTATCCTGTAACTTTAAAAAATAGTTCTACTTATGCTGCAAGGCAAACATTGTTCACCATGAATTCTTTTAACTAGAACTGCTCACAACTACAAAAAAAAAAAAAAAGCACTGTAATTTCACACTATTGTTACCTAAAATTTTGTCCTGCAAAGTGTTCACTCAAGCCATTTTGAAACAGCATCCTTATAAAAAAATGTTTTCTTGGTTTTGCTTACCTCTTGGATTATCACCAATGATGTTGGTCTTGCCATTCCAGTACCAGAGCAGCAACGTTGCATCACGTGACCCCGAGAGGATGTAACAATTCCCTCCAATATAGGACTCGGAACGAGCAAGACAGGTTACCACATCCCAGTGTCCAAATACTACTTGTATCAGTTTACCTGAAACACAAAAAATTGATCCCTTTAAAACTACTATTTTATTCTTTCTAAGGCAAATGAAATACATTATAAAGTATTTTAGAAATATTTGCGTTATCAAATAAAGGTTCAAAGAGGAACTATAGTGGACAGTACTATTTTGTCTTTATTTATTTGGTAGAAAGTTATTGAAAATTGCAGTAGTCCACATAGTCCAAAAAATACTTGCAGTCTACAAATATTATACTTTATTCAGAGGCCAAACATGCCAGATGCTTTTTTTAAAATCTGTACGTTTACACACAGGAAATACAATGGGATTCTCTTTCAAGACAAGTTTAAGGTAAGTTTACTGATGAAAGGAACAGTGAGAATGCAAATCTGATGGCAATGTGGGGAATGGAATCAGAATTTACAGAACACTCAGGACCCAGGGGAAACTGGTAGTTTTGGGAGCTACCCAGAAAATACAGCATTTGCAGCATTCGAGCATTTCCTTGACAAAGTAAAGGAGATTTAGTTGAAAAATTACTCCTGTATCCAGGTTTTTCCATCACCATTTTAACACTTGCCAATTATCTCAATCAGCATCCCTTCCTTTTAAGAATTTCTGTAATGTTTGAAAGAGCTCAGAAGACAGACTTGGAAAAAACTCTCTTACCAACTGAATAAAGGACTAACACTTGTACCAGTGATAAGTGTCATAAACGTTAAAAAGAAAGCCCAGGCAGTAAAAAATGTGCCATTCAAGAGGATGTGTAACATGAATATCATTATTACCTTTTAACCTTAACCAAAAAGGATAACATTTTTAGAAAAACGTAAATTTCGATGCTCATGCATAGTGGATTTGCGTGTGGGAGAGGAAACACATGTGAGGCCGCCCGCAGCAAAGCTCTGCCACATCACCCAGCCAGGGGCCAGTCATGTGTCCTGCTGGTTTCTGGGTCTGCCAGCAGCATACCTGATCCTATGAAATGAGAATTTAAAAATCCATCTCACTGGACCTGCTGAAGACCAGCAACAGCAGGTCTTGAAAAGACAGGACAAAGGATGTGCACACACATTTCTGATGCGCCTACTTGGCCCATTCAGGTAACAGAGGCCGGGCCAAATTCTGCACCCAATGACAAAAGGAAGTGTGATGTGTGATGCCTCTGATGTGTGACCTCGGGTTTCTCAAGCCCAAATGACCATGCATCCATTTGTGCTTTGGGTTGAATAAAGAATGAGGAAGAACAGAAGGGGAAAAGAGCAAAGGTTTTGGAAGGAATAACAACACAGGCCAAAAAAATAAACAGGAAATGCAGACTACTGCATTTCTGAATAAAATAAAAATAAAATGACATCAAATGATCTGAAGAGTGTTTAAAAATAACAAGTAACACAAGTAAGTGTGGGGACTCAAATTAAGCTCATCTTAATAAAGTATTTTGGTGTATGAATTAAAAATGATTAGGCAAGCATTTATTATGGTTAATAGTGAATATTTCATAGCCCTCTTTTTATGCACTACAAAAGCACTGTATTCATATTCAGTCACTAAATAACACTTAATGGGAACAAAAGACTTAAGGGAGTGGTTCTGAGGAAAGAACAAAAATAATGTTAACAGCCTGATTCATAACACAAGATCAAATAGGCAATGGTACATTAAAGTGGAGAAAACCATAAAAAACAAAACAAAACAACACAAAAAACCCCAAACAAACAAACAAACAAACACAAAGAGAAAAAACCGAATAACAAGATGGAATTTAAAGGAAGCCTGTACATCAGATTCAAAAAATAAAACACTGGTGAAATTTATCAACCTACGATAATCCTCCAAGAGAAAATGTGAGGTGAAGCACCATCGCATGAGCCTTTTCTAACTGGATGGGGCAAACCCCTGGATGCACACTAACTGTGCATATCTACCTTGCAGTGGAAGGGTGAGTAACTCAGGGATCAAGCCTTTCACTCATATCTGCAAGTCTGTAATAGATCCCACAGCGGCCACCTCTGTTCACCAGGGCTTTAATTCCTGCTGCAGGGTCACTTGTCTGATATGCTGGCAGATTTAGTCAGATTTAGTCAACAGATTTAGTCAGAAGAAGTTTCTTAACTTCACAGCTACAGGCAGTGTTCACTCCCAAACTACATTTTGGAAATATACAAAAGCATCTTACCCAGTGTATGCTTCTCCCTGAAAATTCAAGTTGTCAATTACATGGTTTAGATTTGAGGATAATTCGTGATATATTTTCAGTTGTATTGCTGTAAATATTCAACTACCTGAGCCGATTTATACTTTTAGAACAGAAGTTTATGCTATAAACATCACTGAGGTATAGAGATCTCACTTTCAATTATTTCTACATTTATAGGTTCTGTTCTAGAAAACAAACATTTTTCAAGGCTATTTGCTTGACAGTTGTTTCTGTGGTTGCACTGCCTTGTTAGTTTTACTTTGCTATTGTGCGGCTTGAGTTTTGGCCAACTTCATCAAAATAAGAAATAGGATCTTGCTCTTTTATATTGGTAAAAAAAAAAAATTCATAACAGTTCAACTTTTTTGTTTCCTTTAAAATCAGTTGTCCTGTCTGTACAGTAATATCAAACTTCACTGTATGCACTCAGATATCCCTTTCTGACAGAACAATTTTTCTAGCTAATGTTTTATTTGACAGCTGTGCTACAAATAATTAAAAGAAAAATAAGACTCAAGTCAGCACTACTGAAGCTAAAACACTGTCTAGAAATCATTCCCACTGCTGGAGGAACGTTTTATTGTGCTTCTGCTATACTAGCTGTGCTGAGAACCCATGATTTATGTTAGAAGTATTTCCTTCTAAAAACAAACAAACAAACCCAAAATCTAATGGGAAAATGGTTCCTTTCTCTTGTAAGTGCTAAAATGTATTTGAATTCAGCACTTGTGATCACTTGCCATTATGCATTACTGATCACATCATCTTTTCCCTTGCTGTTCTGCCAATTTTAAAATATTTCACTACTATATTCCCATTTAATTCACAGCAAAATAAACTACATCTGGATTCACTGATTTAAGCTAGAGCTAGAGTTGCTATATTGACAGATAGGAGACACACAGAAGACACAAATCTCTTCTGACAATGGTATTCTGCTTTATACACTCATTAGCTACAGTAGTAACAATGTGCCTGGTAAATCTGTGTACACACAGAGGAAATAAAGAGATATTTGTAGTTCAGATTGATACAGGAGGACAAAGCTACTAAAATCGTACAAGTTCCTCCCATAGGTGTAAGGTAAAATACATCCTTTGACATAAAAGAATTAGTTCTCTATTCATATAAATCAAGAATATATACTGAATATTTATTACTGTTAGCGATCCTTTCTGAAGATCTACTTTAAATTCACAGTGTAAATTTATTTTCATCAATGAGAAAATTAAACTAAGAAGGGTCTAACAAGGTGTCTATATAACGAATTGTAGGCAGTCCGTGTAACGTAAATGGAACTTCTCCTTTATACTTAAGGCTTTAAAATGACAAAAATGACAGCTATGTTAAAATATGCCATGAGATCTAGTCTTCACAGATTTTCAATATAGACCATCCTGTTTTGTTAAACATTTTGTCTTGCCAAGTGTGAAAAACACTGCTAACTAATATATTTAAGAAATGATGACAAACAT